AACAACCAGTACACCCTTCACTAAAATGTCAGGGCTGGAGAGATTGCTCAGTGGTTAGTGCTTGCTGGATCTTCATTTGGTTCCCAGCCCCCACATCAGGTGCCTCAAACATCACTTGCAACTCCAGCTCCAGGGAATCTGGTGCCCTCTTCTGTCCTCTGAGGTCACCCACACCCATGTGGCATACACTCACACAGACACATATATACACACATAAACAAAAACAGTAATTCTTTATAAAGGGCCTAGTATTTGCATAGAAACTACATGTATCTTCCCACATACTTCAAATCATCTCTAGATTATTTATAATGCCTAACACAATGCAAATGTTATGCAAATAGCTGATAAGCTGCGTTGTTAGATAACAGAGACGGGGGGAGTGGCGGGGAGGGGGGGAGTCCAGGCATATTCAGTTCTGACAAATTTTTTTTTTTTCAAATGTTATCAATTTGCAGTTGGCTGAATTCATGGATGCAGAACTCACAGCTAGCTACCAAAGGGTGATTGTATATTCTAACACAGTGCATTCAGGGGTCTTCATATAGCACAGGTGCTTGGAAGGATATGCCCCAAATGATATGGAGATACTTGATCCTTTTCTGTCCCTGGGTTTGCTTGATGGTGAGACCACTTGAGTCTGCCGGCGGCATCTGGCCTGGCACCACACAAGAGAGCAGCCAAAGAGCAGCTGAGTGGTGGCAGTGAGCCAAAGCACAAGCCTGGGCACAACCCAGTCTGTCTGACAGGCCTGCTCAAGGCAGTTTATTCCCTCCTGGCTTTCCCTGATTGCCCGGCCAGGTCCCCACCCCCACCCCCCATCAGAGCCTCCTGATGTCTCTCTGTTCTAGAATATGATACCAGATGACATTCACCGACCACAACACCTCAACCCAAAAGCCTTCCTTTTCTTGTGAAGATCATGAAGAAAACAAGATAACATGGGCCAGGCCTCAGAAAAGGGTAGCTCACCCCCTCCAAAGGCTTGTGCATGTATGTTGAGATCTCATCTGCAACCCAAGAGCATGTTGAAAGCATAGGAATGCAGAGACACAAAAGGAGGCAAGAACTGAGATTCTGGCTGACGAGAAACAATGATTCAAAACCACAAGGATCTTGGGTCCTCTGGGAATGACAGTTTATAGAGTGAATCACCTGCCTCAGGAATAGGCAAGGCCAAGAGATTTCAGACCTTTTTAGTGGCTGAATCTGACCCATCAATCAGCAAGCTCTGTTCCTTCACCCTCCTCGCCTCTACGGCAGTAGTTTCTAAGTCACAAATTGTGTGCACAGGAAAGACCAAAAAGAGCTTCCTGGGGGATGGAGCCTTCAGAGCTCAGCAGTAAGAGCACATACTGCTCTTGCAGAGGGCTCAGTTCCCAAACCCTCACTGGGTGGCTCACAGGGTCTGTAACTCCAGCTCCAGGGGATCTGGCACCCCCTTCTGGATTCCACAGATACTGCACACATAAGCACAAACACACGTGCACACACACATACACACACACTATGACAAGATGAAACAAAGTTTGCTGGTAAACACTTCTTTGAAAAAATATTTATGTATTGCATATATACACGTATGTATGCATGTATGCATGTATGCATGTATGTATGATTAAAGCATAAAACAAGGTCTTATTAAAGTAGCAGGCACAGATTGGAGATGGTCCTCCAGAGTGGGTCATTGCAATTCCCATGTCAGTTGCAGAGAAGCAAACAGAACTCAAGAAATCTAGGTCTCAGCTTATGCCCTGGAAGAATGTGTGGACCCTGTGCCCTTGAATACGCTGAGTATAGACACTACACCTGGCCACAGAGCCATAACCAGACCAAGAACAGTGAACCACTGGGACCAGTTTCAACAAGACTCAAAGCAGCACATATAACAGGGAGCTTCTTCCCATGGTCACTTCTCTTTCTTAAGCAGCCAAAAGCCAAAGCCAACCCTAAGCATAAAGTTCAGCACCCAAACCTGAAATGGGTATGAACAAGCTTCACAGCCTGATATAGACCTGTACCTGCTCCCAGAGGGTTCCCCAGGCACCTCAGCTCACCTATATCAATAAGAAAATAATTTCACAAAAATATAACCAATCCAGAAAACAATATTGAGAAACCAATTTGAGGCAATCTTTTATATGCCTTTGGTTTACTGTTTAAAAACATTGAGTTCAGAGGAAAAGGTTGCAAATGCATTACATGAATCCTGTAAGATATATGTAATACAAAGAAACACTAAATAAGGCATGTGTGTATTAAATACAGATAGCAAGAGTTGGGAGGCCCAAAAGATGCCTGATATTCACGAAGTCCTAAATATACCCAAGACAGCTGGGCCTCAGATATCATGACACTCTAAATACAGAAAAGACACTCAATATTCATATGCATATGACTCTATATAGAGGAACCTAATATCCAGGCATAATCCAGTTACCCGTGGGTTGACACCTGTTCCGGCCATCTAAGTCCAGATATGGAAAACAGAGCAGTCTGATGTTCCCTTAGTAGCAAGTACATCCTTGGCTCGGAGCATCTACCATATGTATGGCTTCACTGCTAGTACTTCAAGTCTGGTCTTTGGAACCACGTTTTAGTGGGGAAGTATGATACTGCAGAGAGATGGAAATGGGAATACTTGTAATATAGCATGCAGGTGCTGTGGGCCTTCATCTTGCCTAACGGTATCACTCCACCTACTCTATCCTTGCTTATCACTGTATGTTTAAAATTGCATCGAGGTCATTGCCCACATGGCATCGTCTATCATCAGTTCTGCTCTGGAGAACTACGTACTACAGATATGCCCATTCTTCTGAAATAATGTCAGACCCCAAATACTGAAGAACCCTTTAATGCTTTGTATTGTTTCACAGGAGATTCTAATTGGGAACTCTAATCAATGCCCTCACACATTCTTCTATTTAAACACTTTATTTTGTGAGTGTGCACATATGTGTGAGTGCACATGTAGAGACCAGAGGACAATCTCTCCTTCTATCATATGAGTGTAAGGCATGGAACTCAGGTCAAAGACTTGGGGCAGATGCCTCTATCCATTGAGACATCTCACCGTTCTGCATTCTTCTAAGGTCAATACTTGCAAATAATTAATAAGGGGTTCTCTACATTATTTAATACCTAACATAATATGTGTGTGTACGTGTGTGTGTGTGTGTGTGTGTGTGTGTGTGTGTGTGTGTGTGTGTGTACATCACCATTCCTATTCCATAGGGAGCCTGAGGTCACACACTTCTAAGCAGTAGTGCAGAAACCCAAGCCTGACCTCACTGGAATGGACTCCCCACGGTGAGAAAGCAAAGTCCTTTTGACAGTTCCATGTCCCACACTGAGACGATGTCTTTCTAAGTTTCTCTGGGAGGCTGTGTGCAGCACAACTAATGGGCCCGGTCCCGCCCACAGACATGAGAATTTGGAAGCAGAACCATGAGAGATTCGGGTGTGGACTTCAGAGGTAACGGCAAGTATTTCTTGAAGTTCTGCAACTGCATACATTTAGAAGTTAGTCCCACACACCACAACTAGGCAAAGGCCGAGGAACCGATAACTTCCCATGCCTCACCTCCCCAAAGGCTCTTTCTTAGTTTCTTTACACACAAAAAAAACTTAATCACAAAAACTACTTGAGATCGCCTCCTCCCAGGAATCTCCTCAGGAACGCTGACAGAAATTCTGAGGTTGGCGGTTGATGCTGGCACACCTGTCTGCTCACTACTAAGGTTACAGAGACATGGCAGCCACTGAGCTCGGGCTAGTGGGGGCTAGAGAGCTCTTAAATCAATACGAAGAGTTTGGGGGTACATTTTCAGAATCACACACGTGTTCTCAGGATCTTTTTTTTATTATTATTATTTTTTTAATCTGACCTAAAAGTTCAAAATCATTTTCTGGATTTGATGAGCATCATTAACAGGATGTGATGAGAAGTCAGCATGTCCGTTCAGCTTGGAGATAATGAGAAGAGCTTAGCATGCCGGGTACTCTTGCTGTCCTGCCTGCTGGTGACACTGCTGGTCCACCAGGTCCACAGAAGTGCACACCAGCCAGACACATCGCTGGCAGACGCAAAGGATGCTTTAGTGGTCTCGGGCTCCTTCTCACATTCATGCGGCTAAGTCTATTTGAAGGCTCAACCTCTTCCAAGAAGCTTCACCTCCAGCACCAGCCTGAACCCAATGTGAGCAAAAGCCGGGGCTCAGACACAGAGCATCAGCCTTCCTAAGGGCCTGCCTTGCTCCCTCGATGACTCCTAAGCCCTCAGAAGAGGCAACTGGGACAGGCTTTACCGTTATCTGCCGCCTCATCCCAAAGGCCAAGCACACCGTGGGGTGTTCTTAAGATGAAGCGGCAGCCCCAGAAACAGGAATCCGCATTAATTTGTGGAAATTTAAAAGTCCGGTGCATACAGTCCAGGCCAGCCTACCGAAGGGAGCGGAGGTACTTTCCTGCCTTGTTTTCTCAGTTTTTCCCTCCATCTTTTGCTCTCTCCCACATCACTGGGACACCCAGTTTCTCCAGGGACAGGGGAGTAGGGTAGTTAGTATGAGGGTGCAATTTAAATTATGGGGGAGGGGAATACTGTGATATTTCCGTCTGTGTACCACAAAGTGTGATGATCAAATCAGGACAAGCGGCATATCCATCGCCCCAAGCATTTTATTATTTCCTTGCACTGGGAGCATGCAAAATATTTTTTCTTCCTCTTTTTTTTTTCTCCTAGGGAGGGTTTCTTTGTGTAGCCTTGGCTGTCCTGGAACTCACTCTGCAGCCCAGGCTGGCCTCAAACTCACAGAGATCTTCCTACCTCTGCCTCCTGAGTGCTGGGATTAAAGGCATGTGCCACCACCACCCTGCAAAATAGTTTCTCTTTGGATTTGAAATGTATAGTAAGGTATTTTTACCTATGGTCACCTTGCTGTGCCAGAAAATGATGCCCTTATACTAAAAAAAAAAAAAGTTTATATTCCCGTCACAGATCAGTGACAAAGCCTACCTGTTCCAGTGGAAAGTCCTGCTCTAAGCCTTGAGTTCAACTACAGCAGAAACAACCTATGAAACATTCTTGGCCACAGGTATTGAAAAGCTCTTCTGGTCCTGGGAGGAGATGGATTGGGAAAGATCTCTGCCCTCAGAACCCCTGAAAGGCTGAGGAGGAGGCGGCCAGTATGGGGAGCGTTGGTCCAGCTTCCCATGTGTAATGTTGGGAAAGGGCTGCCCAGAAATGCAAAAATGGCAGCCTAGTGTGGTTTCTGAGAACCTCCACAGGCTATCCGATACCTGATAGGGACCTTGATGAAGCCTTGGGGGAGGAGTCTGAGGAGCTGTGCAAAAGTCAAGGGTGAGACCCAGCTCAATAATACTCAGTAGAAACCCTAGTCGGGAGACCACTGTAGCACTGCAGTGGGGTGGGGGGACTGAGGAGGAGGGGCTCCCTGGAGAACAGCAGGAAAACCAACACAAAAGAGGCCACCCTCCCCACGTCCAGATGTCACTGTGGCTTCTTCCTGGTGCCTAGTCACCACCTCAACAAGAAAGACGGGGAGCAAACTGCTTTAAGCTATACAGTGATCGAAATATTCCTTGAATCAGGCCCAAAGGAAACAGAATCCTACGACTAAGTATACCAAAAAGGAAGCCAAAACACTCTATCTGGGAGGCAAAATTAAGTTCACGTTAAAACAAAACAAACAACAAAAAACAAAAAAAAAAAACAACAAAGTTGTATCCCTTCACAATAAGCCAGCAGCAGGAAATGTATCTATTCTGATTCGGATGCTTCCACTGAGTCTCTGTACAACACAAACAGTATTTCTAAGACTATCTGCCTGGGCTGACTTCCAAGGGGAAGGCACAGAGTCTCAAGCTTGCCAAGTCAAATGCGGGCCTACCAGGCGGTCCCAGAAAACTTAGCCCACAGGAGGGCCCCCAGGCCTTCCCACATAGTCTCACGTTGTAGCTGAGAAGCTCTGAGAGCTGGCTGCTACGTACCATTCCGGCTGCTGTAACAAAGTACTAGAGACTGTGTGGCTTATAAACAACAGAAGTTTGTTGCTCACAGTTCTGGAAGTCTAAGATCCAAGCATCGGCTGATCTGGTAACCAGTGAGGATTGTTTCCTGACTCACAGATGGTACCTCACTGTGTTCTCACACAGCCAAAGGAGGGGAGACACGCTCTAACCCCATGTAGAAGGTACCATATCATAAAACCATCACCATGGAGGTTAGGCTTTCAGTACAGGACTCTGGGAGCGCGCGCGCGCGCGCACACACACACACACACACACACACACACACACACACACACACGCTCAGAGTACTATCATTTCTCTCATTCTCCATAAGGGCAAACCAAGACTTCACAGCAAGATTTGATAAGGCCCAAGGAACCACGCTGAGTGGTGATGCACCTAGTTCAACTATCCTAACAGAGAGCCTACCCTGTGCCAAATCTCATGCACTTGCCAGGGGCTGCGAGATGGATACTACACTTACTGGATATTACACTGATTCAATACATGGGAAGGACTGCTGGAGAGGCAGAGCAAACCTACAACATCAGTTAGTCAAAGACAAATGTCTCCAGGGTTACCAAAAAAAAAAAAAAATCAATGATGTTACTAGGAATGTTTCATGCAACATTTTGAAGCATTAAATATGAAAATCCATGAGGTACAAAGTACCTCAATTTTAAGTAAAGACAGGACCAGTCTCCCTGATTTCTCACTCTTGTCTCATGCTCCAAGACAAGGAATTGCACAACGCTAGGACTGAGCCTGGAATCCAGCCCAACTCGAGGCAGGGAAGGCATCTTCACACCACCCCACGGAGCTGTCTCTCCACCATTTTATAACCTCAAAGAGCTCTTGAGGTGGCCCCAGTCCTCAGTCATCTCAGGTGTGTGTCTGCATGACTAAGCTCCCAAGGAACACCAGCCTGGGGAGATTCTATTTCGTCGTTGCTATGTGTTTAGGTAAATGGAAGGAAGTTCCAGCCTCCGCCAAAGGAGGGGCATACTTTAAAATAGTTCTGGAAGGCGCCAGGTGGGCTCCCAATGGATCACACGGGTGCTTGTCTCTCACTTGGATTTTCTGGTTCAGTTCTGACGCGATGCCAACTGTCCACCTGCAGGCCACAAGTCCAGTCACACCGCGGTCTTCCTTTCCCCTTGCATTTCAAAAGCCAAATGCGAGCTCATTTGGGCAATTACTTAAGACTCTCAGCACATGTACACCTTTCACTGGAAGCGAAATGACTGCTCAACAAATATTTGTTGATTCAAATTTTGAACATTGCTAAGATTAAACTCAGAATCCCTTCTGGTGGCCTGTAACCTAAACCCCAGACCTGTTAAATAAACCATGACCCGAAGCATAAGGAAGACAATGTGTCCACTCGTCTCCCTCACCGTGGCCTTTGGAGACAGACACGATTATGCCCTGTACTAAGAATTGAACCGCACGCAGCAAGCCCTTCTCCCCCCTGCCTCTGTTTTCTTAGTGTTAAAACTGGTTAAACTGCTCGGCTCTGCCTCACATTTCAAAGTTAAGTCCAGCAAAGTGCTCAGAGGAAAACTTCGGGCACTTGCGCGTCTGGCTCCTCTCGGCCCCACCGGCCACGGTGTCGTGGACGTGGCCCCCACGGGGGAGGGAGGTTGGCGTGGGCCCCAGGTCCGAAGAGCCCGGGCTGTCTGGGCTCTGCCCGTCACCACCTCCCCAGCTCCATGTGGGGACAAGACTTGGGGAACACACCAAGCCCCCGGCCCCGACTCCCTCCAACCCTGCGGGGTCTGCGCCCCACGCGCGCCGCGTGGCCACGCCATTTCAGACCGTCCCAGGTACCTGGCACCGGAGCGTGGCCGTGCTTGGCAAGCGCGCCGGGAAGGGCTCAGTCCGCGGGGACACACGGGAGCTGCTCCGCCGGGGTGCGCGCTGACCCCCGGCCGCAGCGTCGAGGGCCGGCGGCACCGCGCAGCAGGTGGCGGTAGGGCGCGGGGGTGGGGGGGGAGCGCGGGGTCTGCGGCCGGGGGATGGACGCGGACGCGGGCGCGACCCTCGGGCGGCCGCGCTGGCCCTGCGCTGGGCGCGCGCTCGCGGGCTCCCAGCTCGGCTGCGCGCGGCCCGGCGGGGGCGGACGCGGCTGCTCCGCTCGGCTCAGCTCTGCTCCGCGCCGCCCAGGCCCGCGCGCCTCCCCCGCGCCGCTCCCGCCGGGCACGCGGGACCCTGGCCACCCCACGCGGCGGCGCTGCGGAGCTGGGAGCCTGGCCGGCCCCTGTCTGCGCGAGGCCCGAGGGCCCGGGGGGCCCCCGCGGGGACGGGGACGCCCACGATCGGGACACCTGCGCGCCACCTCCCTGCCACTTGGTCCTCGGAGAGTGGGCGCCTGGGTGCAAGGGAGGGACGTACGCATACGAATACAAGAAAAAGTTGTTTCATAACCTTGTGGGTCCGAGAGTCTGAAGGCTCATGGGGGAAGCTGCCGCCCCGTCTCTAGGTGAATCATTGCTGTGGCACTGGCAAGTGTGGGAAGAAAGGCTGGAGGAGATATCTCAGCCTTGCTTCCCCATCCCCCTCACATTTAACTGAGGCGCTGCCCCACTTTGGGAAGAAACGAACTGGCTCTGAATACCTGCTCAGCTAATCAGCTACCTACAGAGTGCCATTTTCCCCCAAGCTTTGGTCTGCTGGCACAGTCCAGAACCATCTCTCCAGGATCACACCAACCAGCTCCTCCGATAGCATCCATGCCAAGAAGAAAGTACCAGGAAAGTCAACTGAGTCCCAGAAGAGCACCCAGGCTGCAGTAACATGAGCCCCAGCTGGAAGAGAGAATTCTACCATCAGACAGTGGCACTGGAGTGGGTGGCCTCGGAGTTCTGACTTCGCAGCGATGTCGTGTTATTGGGAGATCTAGAGGAATCCACACCCCACCGTTGAGCCGTGGGGTGATGGCTTGCGACCAGGGACACCGAGAACCCCCAAAGCCCATACTTGCACCAATATTTGGAAAAGCTTCTCCCCACAGCTGGCTGAAAAATGAGATCAAAATCCCAAACAGAATAGGAAGACGGGAAAAGAACTTGGCCATAGATGTCATTTTGTTGGATACATAAAAGGAAGTTAGTTGCCTTTTTAACTTTTTGATGTAATCAATCCCTTTGGTTCAAGCTAGTCACTTAAAAGTCCCCTTTGATGGTTAAATGAATTAAATTCCCTCTATGAAAAGAACATAAACAAATCGTGAATCAGTCCCCCAGCCCCCAAATTAACAACCATTCACAGTGAGCAGGTGACTCACGGAGGAGAAAATGAATCGGTTAGGTGTGTATGTTTGCCTTGTTTGAAATCCTCAAACCAAACTGAACGGCTACAAGCAAACCCATGCCCTCACCCATCTTGAGCCTGCTGATGCTTGCTATTCTGATCCACATGTATTCTGCACGGCTGTAACCACTAAATATTTATTGACTCCATAAATTGTCTTTCTAACCTAAGAATTTTGTTTCCAGAGTGTCAGAAGCCTCTGGCTTTATTTGTATGTGCTTGTGGGTGGCTTTTGAAGTTCCTGGAGGGTTTCAGAGGAAAAAAAAAAAATCCAGAGGATCTTGGTGATTAGCTAAGGCTGAGAACACGATGTCAACACCCAAAATAGAAAGTGGTTGCGAACTTTGTGACTAGGTTAGCAACATGGAAAATTATCTGTAGGCTGGAGAGTGAGAACCTTTCTGCTTTCAAAGGAGGGGATGTGAGAAGGAAGAGCTGTCTGTCTCGCCCACCCCAAGGGACTTTTACCTTCATGGACAACTCTGGTTCTCAGCTGCTGTCCACGAAGCCCTTACTTAGCACCTCCATCCGCAAGCCTTCAAGCCAGTCGAGAAAAAGCTAATAGGTTCAAGTAAGGCTTTGTCGAACTTCAAAGGAAACAGTTTCTTAAAGCCCACAGAAACCAGAGCTCAGCCAAGGGCACAGGGTTGGTGGCTTTCCAGATGTTAGTAAATCTGTCTTAGCCATCCCTAAACCTCCCCTTCCAAGGGAGGAGACCCCCCTGACAGGACAAAGAAGGCCATGCTACTCCTGAGTCCTGTATGTCTGCTCTGGGGACACATCGTTGTCAAAAGTCCGATGCTGTTCCCAGCCATTCGCAAGCAGTCAGTCAGTGAACCGCTTCGGTCTCCAGCAGAACCCTGAGCCAAGATGCACGGTGACTGCCATGTTACAAGCGAGGGACTGATGCTGTTTCCATGCTGTCGGCAAAAAAGCAAGGACCGCGGCCACAGTCACAGAGGTATCTAGTGGCAAAGCCAGAGTCTGAACCCACGCTCTGTGTTCTTACTGCTGAGCAGGGCTGCTCCTCTCCAAGTGGCCTCTAACACCAATGACAATGAAGTTTTGGATTTAGAAAAGGAGACTGAGCCTTAACTAGCCCCCCAGAAAGAGGCCTCCTTCGGGGCATCAGAAAGCAACATTTTAAAAAGCTTTTCATTTTTACAATTTAAAGTATTTCTATTTCCTTTCCACTCAATTATTCCGGTGTTGGTTAGTTTTTGGTCAACTTGACACCAGCTAGAGTCATCAGGGAAGAGGGAACCTCGATTGAGGGAATGCTTCCATTAGATTGGCCTGTAAGCATTCTTGGGGGACATTATCTGGACTGATGATTGATGTGGGAGGCCCCGGCTCACTGTGGGTGGTGCCACCTCTGGGCAGGTGGTCCTGGGCTGTTAAAAAAAAAAAAGCTAGGAAGCAACACTCCCACAGGTCTCCCTTCAGGTCTCTGCCTCCCAGTTTCTGCTGGAGGTCCTGGCCTGGCTTCTCTAAATGATGGACTGTGATGTGGGGTGTAAGTCAAATACCGGTCCACCACCACGTTGCTTCTGGTCAGTTTCCTGCCACAGTTATAGAAAGTAGACCAGGACAATCCCTGGCACCGTCGTCACCATTGTCAATAAGGAGATTTAGCTAGAACGAGCCTCCACTGCCTTGCAGGTTCTTTTGGTTAAATGAAAGGCTTATGGTGGAGTGAGGAGACATAAGCCATGGGCTTTCTCACCTAAGCTGGCAGTGGGGACATTGCGTCCTTCGGGACATTTCATCCCCAGACTCTGCTTGTGGGTTCCTGGAAGACAGCCAATGAGTCACTTAGATTCAGAAAGCAGAGACCCCACAGGCAAGCTTTGTGGGTGGCGCTCTGGAGCCAGGAACCAGCCTGGTTGTCATCCTCCAAGCAACAGGCTTGTTGCCCAGGAAAGCCTTGGTGGCAGTGGTGTTGAGCTGGGAGGTATGAGCGTAATGGCTGGAGTTTGAATCCCTGGCACCTACGTAAATGCTGGTTGAGACCATGGCCGTGTGGCCAGGAATTCTAGCCGTCACTCAGAAAGCGGTGACAAGGGATCCTCCAACAGCTGTCAACTCTGGGCTCAACTGAGAGATTCTACCTCCAGAGAACACTGAAGGGAGACTCCCGAAGTCAACTTCCACCATGATTGGTGTGGTCTCCCCATATGAGGCTGTAGCTCCCACTCTTCCATTTCAGACTCTTCCCAAACTGACCTACTTACTTCCAGTCATTCCTCAATGCTCTGTTCCCTTCCCTTCTGCCTTAGCCCACAGGCTCCCCCACCCCAGCCCCATGGCCTTGATTCCCATGGCAGCCACTCTATACCACTCACTCTTCCCGGCATCGGCAGTGAGTGCCCCGAGCCCTTGGTCCTCCCATGATGCTTTTCTGTTTAAAACCACAATTTACACCAACTTCCTCTGATCCTACAGCCAGGCCTTGCCTGCCTGCCAAGAAAATGCCCAGAACTGCTCAGACGAAACACATAAAAGAGTTCTCTAGCCTCACCGGGCCTTTCTTTGTGTGTTTAATTGTTTTCTGAACAGATGGACCCAACATGATGAGAAAGAAGAGGAGACCACCAGCAATATCAACCCCAGAGGTCACTGCTGCTGCTGTTTCGTTGGTATGTTTCCATTTTTATTTACTATTAAAAAGGGTTACTATTAAAAAGGGTTCTGAAGTCTCCCACATGGATGAAGTTAAGGCACAGGGAAGGGGATGTACCTCAAAGGCAGAGCACTTGCCTAGAACACCCCAAACCTTGGCTCAATCCTCATCCCCATCAAAAAAAAAAAATCAACATAGTTGAGGTAAAGACAAATAATTTTATAATCTTTTTAAAGAACTACATTATATTACAAGTATTTCCCCGTGTGATAATGAAGTCTTCATAAGTCTAAATTCTTAACAACTTGCTAACATTCTGCTATGTGCATGGCTTATTTTACAATTTAATATTTAGGATTTAACTACTGCTGTGTTTCCGGGATATGTCACAGCATTCCTTGACGGTATGTGGATGACCTCCGGTGTGTATTTTCTAGCATTTCCTTCCTTTAAGAGTTGCAGACAGGACTTCCAGGGGGAGTTGGTATGAACGAGCCTAAGGCTCTGGCACCCACAGGTCTGAGACACAACTGTTCCTATTTTCATTTGTCCCTGAGTGACTCCCTGCCACCCATGGCTACTCCCTGGCCCTGTATTCCAGCTCCCACCATAGTCTCTTGTGAATATATGGGTTTGTTTCTTCATAGGAAGTTAAAGTTACAGAAATGTGATCATTCGTCAGCTGAGCGCAGGATGGGAAGAGTTTGTTGGATCATGGGGGGTGGGATGGGGGGGCCAACACAGTCATAAAGCTGCTCATGGGAGAAAGGACCGTCCTGAGAGCCTGCAGGAGACAGGAGGACTCCACTGGATACTGCATTAGAGTGGAGGGAGGGGCCACAAGCCTGGGAAAGTGGGACTCCCAATGCTAAAGACAGTGTCTTCCCCCTTGAGCCTCCTTGGTTTTACCCCAGTGAGATTCCTACCAGGACTCGAATCCCCAGAACTATAGAAGGATTGTGTTGTTTAGAACCACCAGTTTGAACTAGGGAGATGCTCAGTGTTGCACACGCGTGGAGATCTGAGCTCAGATGCTCAGCACCCACATCATGGGACAGAGAGGGGAGGACTGTTGAGCTCACTGGCCAACCCGCTTACCCCAAACATGAAACAGCTGCAGTGAGAAACCCTGTCTCAAAGGGACAAAGGAACACAGAGCTAGAACAGGACACCATGCGTTTTCTCCTGCTCTCCACATATGCATGGGTATACAGGCATGCACCACACACACACATCCACATACATGTCAGGCACACAAACATCCACATGCACCACACACACTCACACTAAGTTTGTGGCAATTTATTATCACAATAGGTGACTAATAAAACATTTACTTAGATTTCCCATCGCTGGGCTCCATGTTCCAGTCGCTGCTCACTGGTGTGGTTTGTAGCAGTGGTCCAGCAGACACACTAGGGTTAAATGCTGCCTGAATAAGCTTAATCCTTACTCTTCTAAACTTACCGTTGACCCCCTCTAACAGGACTCAGACTCTGAGCTAAGAGGCTCCATTTGTTCCTGCTGCTGTTGGTGATTCTTTTCCTGCTCAACACTGGTGATCGTTTTGGAATCTTAACAGCTCTTTAAACGTCTTGCCACAACATGTAGACTTTTCCTCAATGTCCATCACGTTGCTTCTAAAACAATTTCCATTTAGCCTACCCAGATGTTACAGGAATTATTATTAATCCTCTCCTCCCTTTCAAAAAGATGTGTTCTTTTATTTGGGATGCCTAAATGTCAAAATTGTGTTGGTTTTAGACATCAATAACACTATTTTCCATAGAAAACCATGGTTGAATGCTTACCCTCCTTGTTTCTGAAAAGACTTGTTACTTGTTTATCCGAATGTGCGGTCAGGTTTGGAAGAATCCAGAAGCTGATTGGGGACAATACCGATAACAATAGTATTGCGTTCATATGGAATAATATTTAAAGTAAGAGAGCTGGGGACTCTAATTATCAAGGAAAAGTCCAAATCACCACTTTTCTCTCAGGCAGAGAAAGAAAACAAGTGTGTCTCTGGTTTATGTGCTGGCCCACATAGCTCCTTTTCGCAAATGTGACTTTAAACCAGTTAATCTTTTAAAAGTCTTTACACTGACTGATTTAGAAACAAAGAGGACAAATGTGGGAGTCTAAATGTGAGGCGCTGAATAAGAGTGATAATCTCTGCCAATGAGCACGCTGCTGCGCTTCTGGTACCCAATGCCGTTCACGGTTTTCATTTAGATGGAGCTTCCCGGAGCTTCTCTTGCCTCCCCGGCACGATGTGCTACGTGACTGGAATTTAGATTTGGAAACTGAGATCTGCCCAGGATCTTAGGGAATGTACTTTCATCCTCCTTTCTGGAGGACCAGGGAGTGCCTGCTCCAAGCTTACCCGCTGATGGCCAAGCACAGCCTCACATCTGCATCCAGGGGAGGGTGTGCGCAACCCCTGCCCGCCTCCTTTACAGACAGCCCACCTCCTGGTCCGGTTCTGCAGTTTGCAGTATTTCTCTGGTCATCACACAATGTCAATAGTCAACTACCTTCACAGCATATTTTTTTAACCCCTTTGATAGGAAAATAGTATCTTACTGATTTGATACAGAGTATGGAATTTTTAATCACAAAAATATTTTAATAGCCAGTATTTGGGCAGCTACTAATTTGTGGCTGAGTGACAGATAAATCGTGTTAGGTAGCTGTTCCTCACCCGTCAGTGAAATGCTGTGCCACTAAGGTAAGAGAACGAAGCCAGTGTTTCTGTAGCAAATGGTGACACTAAAAATAGTGTTTGGAGGATGTGGAATAATTTTTTCATTGTTTCCATGGAAAAGCAGGAGAGGGTGGATGAATCCATGGTCTGACTGTGCCGAGGAGTCCTCCGGCGGGTTTGCAGGGCTTGCTGAGAAGAATGGGACAACATCTGCCAGACACAGTCACTCCCTGGACTAAGAATCACATCACCTCCTCCCCTTCAGAACGCCCAGGGATGGGAGCATCCATGGCTTACTTCATGCCTGTGTTACAAATGCTCTACACTGTGTTTTGAATCTAGATGTCTATTGCCCGATCAGCGTTGAGCCTATATGAAATTGCCTTGGGGTGGGAACTCTGCGTGGAATGGCGATACAACTGAGTCTCAGTTTGGGTGCACACGAGAGTCCTCTTGCAGCTTGAAGAAGCTCTGGACTCACCTTCGGTAGGCAGGTGGCCTTGTTCTGCCAGCCTCCCCACTCCAAACACTCATTCATATCTGCCTTTATATAAATTTCCATCAGTGAACACCTGGAAACCAGTCCCTTCCAAAGGACCAACAGTAAGCCCTGATCTGATGGTTTCTGCTTCCTAAGAGTATGTGTAGTTTTCTAAAATGCCGAACAAAGCCCCAAGAAGTGCTGGCCTGCCTGTCAGTGAAGAGCACAGGAGAGGGTGTTGTGGAAGACATTGGGGTACAGGTCCTTCTGGGAACCTCCTACTACAATGCTAAGCCCAGGCTGCTTTCCTGTGAGTCAGCTGCAAAGTGGGTTATGGTGGCAGACGTATGCTCCTTTTTATACTCAAAATACAATTACACAATGTATAATCTCCATTCCAGGCACCAGGGAACCCAGAGGGAACCTGCCAAAGTTCAAATAGCAGTAAATGGACAAGTGGGAACTGAGACCCAGTGGCCAGACCCCAAGACACTTAGGATGAGTTACACATTCTATCGGAAGTTATTTCTCCTGTCTTTCTGGAGAATTTAGAGAAAGTATTGAGTCGGATTAAGATAATTTGGCACATCTGAACTCAAATGTTTGACAGAAACTTGAATGTCTTCCCGGTTACTCCACGGAGCATAACAATGAAACCAGTGAGCCACAGCAGCTACCTATGGCAAGGCAGGTCCCATGGTTTCTCAGGATTGCCTGATGTTTAGGGATGCTGCACGATAATCAGTTACCTTCCCGCTTGGCTTCAGAGGGGAGTGTACACAGCGAACATTGCCCGGCTTACAGGTGTGTCTGGGAGAAGGCCAATGATCAAATGTTGGTAGTGGGCCTTTGTGAGAACCCTGGGAATATGGTTCTGTGGTTCTTTTACCTTATCTTAGTATTCAACACACTGAAAAAAAAGTTTATACAGATGAGTACAGTGGCATAAGAAGGGTTAAACAACTGGACACTGGAAAAAAGACAGGAAATAATTTCGTTCATTTAACTTAAGACAGCAGCACAGGCCTGTGATCCCTGAGAGAGGGGAAATGAATGCTGAGCCTGAAGATCACCTTGGCTTCCTGCCTGAAGGTGGTTTCTGTGCTGCTGCGTGGGCAGAGGGAGAAGGAATCCGGAGTCTGGCAGCTGTGCTGAGTTAAGGAAATGGAGCTCGGAATCCAGGGCGGCTGAAGGAGCTGGGATTGGAAGGGCGGGTCTGGAAAGGAGACACTTTTGAGGGAGAAGAGCTGGAGGGGGCTGGGCAAAGGTGACCAGGGCCTTGCAGACCACACATGGTTCCCAGGACTTGCACAGATTGGGGGATATTCGAGATGTAGCCTGCTCGTGAACTGATGGATATCACACACGGCGCATCGCTGGAGATACCCAACGGGTCATCCCCTGGGTTAATCACCATTTAGATAAACCACACAAAGTGTTGCAAGTTGAATTTGTTGCCCTCAGGCTCAGATGTTCATGACTTAGCCACAAGCATCTTGAACATGACCTTACTGGAAAATGCCATTTTTGTAGCTACAGTTAGTGAGGATGGGGTCACAGTGGATTAAGGGTGGACCACTACTCCCGTGTGTCTTAGTTAGGGTGATGAAATACCATGACCAAAAGCAACTTGGGGAGGAAAGTGTTTATTTGGCTTAGGCTTCCACATCACTGTTCATCTCTGAAGGAAGTCAGGACAGTAACTCAAACAAGGGCAGGAGCCGATGCTATTAAAGAATACTGCGTTCTGGCTTGCTTAGCTTGCTTTCTTATAGAACCCAGGACTGCCAGCTCAGGAACAGAACCACCCACCATGGGCTGGGCACTCCTCCATCAATCATTAATTAAGAAAATGCCCTACAGGCCTGCCTACAGCCCCATCTTAAGGAAGCATTTTCTTAATTGCGGTTCCCTCCTCTCAGATGACTTTAGCTTGTGTCAAGTTGACATAATACTATCCAGTACACCACGTGACTGGTGTCCTTATAGAAAGGGAAATTTAGACACAGACACACACGGGAAGAATGCCATGAGAACACACAGGCAGAGATCCTGATGGTGAATATGCAAGCCAAAGACACCAGAGACTGCTAGCAAACCCACAAAACGAAGGAGCCTGGAACAGACTCTTCCTCATAGTTCTCAGAGGAACCAGCCATGTCCCCACCTTCAGCTTCAGAACTGGGAGGGGACACCTTTCTGTCGTACAAGCCCCCCCAGTCTGGGGTACTTCGTTATGATCTCCCTAGCAAAGTAACACACAACGGTTAAGAGCAGATGTGGGGGAGGGAGTGGTCAGTGGTAGAGAGGGATGGATGGCACACCCTGCAAGTCTCGGGTATCTGTTTGGGCTCAGTCAGTTTGCAGTTGTCTTGCCTCAACTAGATTCTCAACATCAAAAATCTGAATGTCGCCGGGCGGTGGTGGCGCACGCCTTTAATCCCAGCACTCGGGAGGCAGAGCCAGGCGGATCTCTGTGAGTTCGAGGCCAGTCTGGGCTACCAAGTGAGTTCCAGGAGAGGCGCAAAGCTACACAGAGAAACCCTGTCTCGAAAAACCAAAAAAAAAAAAAAAAAAAAAAAAAAAAATCTGAATGTCTACTTAATGAATTCAAGTTAAATCAAAATGGTAGGCAAAGGGAGAGGAAGGGAGGGGGTATATTACCTTAAAGATGTTTGAAAAAAATGGATAGAATTGTATTACTTTGTGTTTACCTAAAATTATGTGTAAGGCATGTGTATGTATATACATGGATACATGGTTTAATTTACCTGTAAGGCATGTTTGTGTATATACATGGATACATAGTTTAAATTATGTGTAAGGCATATATATATAGATATATAGATATAGATATAGATACATAGTTTAAAGAAGTATCACCTCATTGGGTGACAGTGATAACCCCAAGAGCTGTGGACTAGCTAACAAGAATGCCAGCACCAGACATGAGAAACCTCTCAAGTTGTTGGTCAGGGAGGTCCAAGAGATCCTCAGATGGTAATGTATACTCTGTGCCATTGTATGCTAGAAATATGTAATTTGCTTCTTGGTTTTTACAAGGGACTACAGTTAAAAGATTGCCTTGAGTCCCAGAAGAGACTTAGGACTTTTAAATAGTCTTGAGATGGAAAAACTATGGGGACTTTTGAAGGTGGACTTCAATGCATTTTGTATTGTGGTGTGGCCACAAGTCTATGGCCAGGGGATGGAATGGAATGGTTTGAATGGGAATGGGTTTCATGGTCTCATATATTTCAGTGCTTGGTCCCCAGTTGGTGGACCTATTTGGGAAGGATTAGATATGGCCTTGTTGGAGGAGGTGTGTCAGTGGGGGTGGGCTTTGAGGTTTCAAAGTTCATGGCATTCCCAGTTAACTAACACACTCTCCTCCCTCTCCCTCTCCCTCTCCCTCTCCCTCTCCCTCTCCCTCTCCCTCTCCCTCTCCCTCTCCCTCTCCCTCTCCCTCTCCCTCTCCCTCTCCCTCTCCCTCTCCCTCTCCCTCTCCCTCTCTCTCTCTCTCTCTCTCTCTCTCTCTCTCTCTCTCTGCCTTCAACCTATGGACAAGATGTAAGTTCTCAGCTCCTGCTCCAGCGCCATGCCTGCCTGTCTGATGCCATGGTCCCTGCCACGACAGTCATGGACTCTAATCCTCTGAAAATGTAAGCCCCAATAAACTCTTTCTTCTATAAGTTGCCTTGGTCATGGTGTTTTGTCACGACAATGGAAAAGTAACTAAGACAACAAATCAGATGAAAGCCTTAAGGAAAAGTAAAGCTGTCCAAAGGAAAAGGGCTGGGGAGAAAGAGCAGAACTGTTTTTCTCTTTATTATACATTCTAAGATGCAAAGCGGGTGGTCTGGGGGCTGTTGAGAGACGGCACAGCTGTAAAGAGCTGCTCTTCTAGGTCCTACAGCTCATTAGGTCAGCATTTTCAACCGCCATGGGCTCCATAACCTAGTTATTTCTACTTTAAACCAACAAGGCTGTTTTTCTCTTATTATAAGCTTGCCTTCTGCTAACTGTAATATATATATATGTGTGTGTGTGTGTGTGTGTGTGTGTGTGTGTGAGTTCTAAGTCTATGAATGCATACATAGCAAAGGGTGTTACAGTGAGTAAACTAAAATATATTCTAATAGAGGAAGAGAAAATCTTTATAGACTGAATAATATCCTTAAATAGAAAAACAATTTAGAATATTTTTTCTTTCAGAAATTTTTTAATCTAGTGGAAGGAAATATTTTAATGTTTATATCAATGCATATGACAGAAATTTAAGTACAGTTTCTTTAAAAAAATAAACACAAAGACAACAAAATCAAGACCCTCTGCTGAGCCTGGTATCACACACCAGCAATCCTAGCACTCAAGACATGGAGGCAGAAGGACCAGGGGTTCAAGGTAAACTTTGGCTACACCAGACCCAACTTTAAAAAAAATTAACAAAAAAACCCCCACAAGACCCTCAATGATATAATGTTTATATTGTCCAGCACTGAATTAGCGATTTATTATGTCAAGGAAAAGGTGAACTGTAGTCAAAATGAAAAAAAAAATCAGTTAATAGGAACAGATGCAGAAATTGGTAGTTAGTGGAGAAAACAGACAAGTAAAGCCACCAATGGAACCATGTGTAGACATTTAAAGAAAGACATAATGAAAAGAGGAAGGGACTTTAGAGGAGAACCGACTACTGCCGCTTTCCTAAACCTGTATAATTCTAACTGCATTCTAAATACATACCTTTATACTCACAGATAACCGCAGCTGTCACTCCTCAATACGCTGCTTTTCCAGCAGATAGAGGCTACTACAGAAATTCACAACTGGTCAAATGCAGAGAGCAACTGACTATGCTGTGCCTAGCTGCAACTGATACATCAACAACGCAACTCCTAAGGCTCAGGGACCATCTCAGAAGAGGGGGTGGAAAGATAGTGAGAGCCGGAGGACCAGGGCATCTAATTCAAAAGAGTGTCTTCCATGAATGTGGAGGAAGCTGCACCCATGAAATCCCAAAAATGGCCTAAATAAAATAATGACAACACTAATTGACATGCCGACACGGATGGAGGAGATCTCACAAGGCCCACCCCTAAATGCAGAGCTATAGGCAATGATTGGCAGCTAAGAGAGAGAATCAGTCATCTCCAGGGATGAGCCTCCTGACTGACAGCTTAGTCAATCCAAGTGGTCAGCCCTAAACAAATACACATACTATCAACAACACTAAATGGACTCAACAGGTTATACAAGTGTGTGTATGTGTGTGTGTGTGTGTGTGTGTGTGTGAGAGAAAGAGAGAGAGAGAGAGAGAGAGAGAGAGAGAGAGAGAGAGAGAGAGAGAGAATTGAAGGCATGAGTTTGAGAGGGAGCATGGAGACATGGAAAGAATTGGAAAGGGAAGAGAAAGGGATGGAAATAATGTAAATGCAGTATTTGTGTAGGAAATTCTTAAAAATTTAATTAAAAAATTATTACATCTATATATTGATATGTATAGTTATATAATATGCATTTATATGTATGTCAATTACTGTTGTAACTTTTACTGATTATAAATACATATATAATATGCACGTCAACACAGATTGATACCATGACTTTATTTTTTTAGTTATACAGAAATAATAGGTTTCATTATAACATATTCACATTTACACTCCAATATACTTTGCTCTTATTTGTCCTCTCCACTACTGTCCTCCCTTATTTCTCATCTCCTCACTTCTTGGTCCCCGTCCTTCCCCTTTCTTCTTTCACTTCACGTGTGACCCGGCTTACCTACGTCATGGCAGTCTCAGGTCACAACACAGGCAATGTCAGAGCAGGCTGCAAAAAAAAAAATGTGGCTACCCTGGCTGTCTGACTCCTGAGCGCCACGGTTTTCTCTGCATCAACCCCCAAAGGGACACATTGTGTTTGATGTCAGCAGCAGAAGCAGTGAGGGCAGGGTTGAAGAGAATGAGGAAGTGGGCAAACCACCGCAGCCTTCGCAGGAAAGAATGCATGAGGAAGAGGAGAAGGAAAGGGGGGTTTGGAAGGTTACCAGCAGAAAAGTCACAAGTCACAACTACCAGAGTTACAGAGAGCTTTATTGGGAGGTTGGAGGGGATAGGAGAGAGGGGAGCCAGGCCTTGAGAAAGAGAAAGATGGGGGTGTGGGGGCAGAGCAGAGCAGGGAGCAGGGAGCAGAGAGCAGGGTGCAGAGGGAGCAGAGAGAGAGGGTGAGGTCTGCGTCCGGCTTTTAAGGGGCATACATAGTTGCCAGCGCACACTGATGATGTAAGATACAAGACCCCAGACTGCGCATGTGCAGTCATTCATGTAGCTGGAGTGGCGCAGAATCCTAAGAGGGATGCACTGAGAAAATTAAATTGGAAGAAGAAAGAGAGGAAAAGGTCTTATTCCAGCTCCACTGAAGACGACTCTTCAAAACAAAAGAAACAAAGGATGAGAAGAAGGAACCAACGAGTAAAAGAGGAGGAAACCACAAAAAGGGGGAAAAGAAAAAAGAAAAGAAAAGCATTCTTTCCCCCAAATTGTTCTGAATTCACCCCAAAGTAACTGCCCTAACTTGGGATATTGAAGAACTCTATTTTAAAATGATTTGACCTTCCTTGGAATCGCTATAGAATTACGCTTTGCAGCAAATCCCAGCCTCTTCTTCCATGTAGACATTTTTTCACACACTGGGACCCTTCTATCCCTCTGGCCGTCCATATTAAATCTACCCTGTTGTTGGACAGCCGGGCCTCAAGTGTAGACACCTGTAGATGCAAAGCACATCGTTCTGAGTATTTGAGTGTGTTTGCCTAGTGCTGTCACCTCCTAAGTCAATTGTAACGTGGCTTTACTACAGTCCAACAAGTAGTCCACATGGCTACTAAGTCGTGTTCATCTGCCAGTGGTGAAGCGTGGTTTGTGCTAGTGATTTGCTCTTGATACCAGAAGGTGTGACCACTTTATATACTGGGTACTGTGTAAAGACAGTGGGGTTCCTCACTATTGTTTTTGTTTTATTTATTATTTATTTATTTTTATTTTGCAATACAATTCAGTTCTATATATCAGCCACGGATTCCCCTGTTCTCCCCCCCTACGGCCCCCCTCCCCCTCCCCCCCAGCCCACCCCACATTCCCACCTCCTCCAGGGCAAAGCCTCCCCCGCGGACTGAGATCAACCTGGTAGACTCAGTCCAGGTAGGTCCAGTCCCCTCCTCCCAGGCCGAGCCAAGCGACCCTGCATAGGCCCCAGGTTTCAAACAGTCAACTCATGCAATGAGCACAGGACCCGGTCCCACTGCCTGGGTGCCTCCCAAACAGATCAAGTCAATCAACTGTCTCACCCATTCAGAGGGCCTGATCCAGTTGGTGACCCCTCAGCCATTGGTTCATAGTTCATGTGTTTCCATTCATTTGGATATTTGTCCCTGTGCTTTATCCAACCTTGGTCTCAACAATTCTCACTCATATAAACCCTCCTCATACTCGCCATTTGGACTCCCAGAGATCTACCCTTTGTTTTATTTTTATTTTTATTTTTATTGGTTCTTGGTGGATTTCACATCATGCATTCTGATCCCACTTACCTCCCCGTCTCCTCGAATCTGCCCTCTGCCCCTGCAACCTCCCCTACCCAAATCAAAACCAAATTTAAAAGGAAAACCCCAAATCAAACAAAATAAAGAAACAACAACAAAAAAAATATCTTTGAAGGTAAAGCTGCTTTACTGATCATGAGGGGTGCATTTTTTTAAACGAATGGGATCTAAGGAAGATCATAATGAAAGTATTTATAACAAAGTGTTTGATGAAATGTGTTTCTAGCACCTGCCTCACATGTTTTTGTAACAAGGAAAGTATTTCTTCCTTTTAAAAATAAAATAATAAGCCGGGCGGTGGTGGCGCACGCCTTTGATCCCAGCACTCGGGAGGCAGAGCCAGGCGGATCTCTGTGAGTTCGAGGCCAGCCTGGGCTACCAAGTGAGTTCCAGGAAAAGGCACAAAGCTACACAGAGAAACCCTGTCTCGAAAAAAACCAAAAAAAAAAAATAAAATAAAATAAAATAATAGCGAAGTTAACTCAACAACATATAAAAAGGGACGAACACCATGCCCAACGTGTTCTCATGAAGTAGGAAGAGAAGGAAAACATTGAAACTTGACAAGGTGATCTGTGGTAACCAGACAGTTAACTTCACACTAATGAATGAAACACTGAACGTTTGCCCACCGATAAAGAGCTGGAAGAGAACAAAGACACATGCTTTCACCACCTCTGTTCAACACTGTACTGGAGAGTAGAGCCAAATGTGGCAGTCTGAAAGAGAATGGCCTCCATAGGCTCTTATACTTGAATGTCAGGTTCTCAGTTGGTAGACTGTTTTGGGAAGGATTAGGAGGTGTGGCCTTATTGGAGGAGGTGTGTCACTGGGGACGGACTTGAGGTTTCAAAAGCCCACACCAGGCCCAGTCTCCTTCTCTCTGCGTCTACTTGTGGATCAGATGTAAGGTCTCAGTTATTGCTCCAGCGCCATGCCTGGCCTGCCTGCCACCATGCTTCCCACCATGATGATCCTGGACTCACCCTCTGAAACTGTAAGCAAAGTCTCCGACTAAATGCTTTCATTTACAAGTTGCCTTGGCTGTGCTATCTCTTCACAGCAATAACACAGTAACTAAGACACCAAGTAACAGGCAGGT